GCGCTATTTATTTAATATTTTATCACGAGCATTTACCTCTCACGCGGCCTGTCAACTGTTTAGGGGCCGTACACATAATACGTCACGCGATTTTTGACCCTTTTTAACCCCTCCCTCCCCCTATGTCACACTTCGTCACAAATCTTGAACCCCCCCTCCCCCCTACGTCACGTCACACACGTAAATTTCACTGTAAATTTTATACATTGGACAATATATATTATATCTTACACTCTAAATTATTGAATCGCAGTTAAAAATACCTGATTTAGAAGCAAAAAGTCAGTCACTAATTCAAATAGTAATATTTTTTTTTGACAATTAGTTGAAAATAACTGATGTTTCAATACAATTGTTTTTGATTGATTCAATTAGTCATGTTCAACTACCTACATAGCACCGAAACTTTCCTAAAAATTTACTAAAGATTTACTCGCAAGCTTTGAAATATCTAAATGCAAAGTTTAGTGAAAATTGTGTAAAGATTTAAATATCCCACTTCAATAAATGTTTAGCGCGAAACTTTCCTGAAAACTTAAGTTAAATTTTCAGGAAAATTTTCACGAAAGTATAGTCGAAAATGCAATTCAAATGTTCAGGAAAGTTTCAAGCTATATTATTAAGAAAATTTGACGATAGACATTTATTGGAGTGAGAAATTTAAATCTTTACACAATTTTAAAATAAACTTTGCAAGTAAATTTTTCGAATTATGCAAGCAAATCATTAATATACAATATTTAGAAAAATTTCGGTGTTTTGTGGATAATTTTTCAGTTATTTTTAACTGATTCAGAAGCAAAAAGTCAGTCACTACTGATTGTCAGCTAAAACCATGATTTTTAACTGATTCAAATTAAGAGAATATATTATTTATCATCATATTATAAATATTATGCCAATAGATGTTAAACATGTACATAACAGATATTAAATAGTTTAAAGCATTTTTAACTTGTTTTATTTAGAAAAAGTGACATTGTCACATATAAGTTCTTATAAATCTTTGAATTTAAAAGATTGTGACGTAACACATGAGTTCACCCCCCCCTCCCCCATGTCACACTTAGTCACAATTCTCAAACCCCCTCCCTCCCCCTAGACGCGTGACGTATTATGTGTACGGCCCCTTATGGAAAGATTACTGATTCGCGTCGTAAACGTAACTAACAAAACTAATGTTTCTTGTGTAATTTATAAAGTTTGTTTCGTTTCCTGCCACTATCAAAAGTTGATTACGAATTACATTTATTTGCTTATTACGAAAACAAGAGATGAAAATAATGAAGAGACGAAGAAAAAGAAGGGCATCTAGGGTCCTGACAATATGCAGAAAGCTGTAAAAAAGTTTTTAAAAAATGTAATGGGTGCACTTCAAGCTGCAGATCAGGAAAAGACAAGTTGTCTTTTGTGCCTTGAATCTCATGAAGAAGATTGAATATAATCTTCATTGTAAAACTTGGTTCATGAAGCTTGTCTAAACATATAGGAGCTTTCAAATTAATATATTTGCGATTATTGCTTTTGTTTAACTACTAACATTTATACTGGCCGGTACTGGAGACCACATTTTTCAAGACTGGCTTTTCAGTCATTTAAAATTTAATTATTTAAGTTAATTATTACTCAACAAAATGATATTCTATTGTTTTTATTGCTTGCTTATAAGTTCCTAAATGCATATCAATAAGTATTTAACATGTGAGTTAAGGTATTCTTTTCTTATTTTAAATAATCCTTAAGGTGACGGTACTGTAGGACTCTCCCTTATATAATAATTATAAGTGTTATAATTATATAATTATAAATTTTTATAAATATAAATTTTCTTTAACCTACGGTGTTAGGTCATCGCTCTAGACCGCTACAGTGCTACCTACCGAATCAACTCCCCCTCACTTTCCCCCATCTCGCTCACCGACCGTGCCAAAATTCAACGGGCTAAAGCTTACGCTGCAGCATAGACTGCACAATGCAAATCCAAGGGTTGCATTGGTTCCCCATGCGGTTCTCCGGCGTTCTAGGGGCTTCACAGACTTTTATCTGTGACTTAAATTTTGACGAGATTTTTTCCGTACCCTTAAAAGAGAAATTCGCCCATGTCAGTATATCCCTTTTCCCGAATCCTATTTCACTAAATCCTTTTTCCCGACAAATGTAAGGCACGTATAAATACATGTATACAATAATCAAAAATATAGTACAAATTTTTGTACCTATATGTAATTAATAAAAAAATTATATACACGTATAAAATGTACGTGTAAATACATGTGTACATCTAAATCGTGCTTCCAATTCCTATGTATTATAACAAGTATTTTTATAATTTATTAAAATTATTATAATATATCTGATTCATAAAATTCTAAGAGCTCTCTATAGTATATTTCCAGGTCAAAAAATTGGTCAATTTTGACATATTTTTTAACCTACAGGTCAAATTCTAAGGGCCCACTACACTATACTTAAGATAACTCCAAGTCAAAATATTAGTCAAAATTGACCTATTTTTTAACCTACAGGTAAAATTATAAGGTCCTCCTGTTGTATACTTGAAATAACTTTTTTTAGACAAAAAGGATTAGAAAAAATGACCACCTACCAAATTCATTTCTGAAGGAATATATTTTTTTTTAAATTAGGCCGCAACGACTTTATTTGAAATATAATGGTTTTACCCACATGAAAAAGAAAAAAGTTATGGCAGTTTTTAAGATCGTAATAAAGGGTCCCTTTTTTGTGAATAAGATAACTTGAAGAGGTTTTAACGAATTTAGATTCGCAATTAGTGACCCCAAAAACCTTCGAGTAACAAGTTACAGGCGAATCCCAAGAGTACACTGAGAAAACTGGAGTATTGGACTAAACATCTGGAGGGACAAATCGTTCATATTTGAGAGTTAGCTATTGGATAACAATCTAAATATTCAAATACACCATTGACAGATATTCGTGCCATTTCTCTTGGAGGGAAAATGAGTTTATAACAGAGAGACAAATTAACCATCTTGAGAAATCCCTTCCTTATCCGGCGCGAAATGAATAAATATGGCAACCTAACCCCTAAATTAAATACATAAAATGTCAGAAAAATAAGTTCGCGCGCATCAGATCGTACACATTTTCTGCGCAACTTTTAACCCTCAGATATAATGGGAGAATATATGAGTCGTCGGATCTTATAACGACACATAAAATTTCCACAGGGGTTTGAGTTGGCCCCTGAAGGTTGAAAAATTAATTTAAAAAAAAATTTGTTTAAATTACTTCTGAATAGGAAATTTTATTGCGCATCTTTTTTCTTCTATAAAAATTTTTCGTATCTATTAAGGTTTTAGAAGAAAACGCAAAAAACTAATTTTTTTATGAAATAACATTTCATTCATTTTTTTTCTTCAACTCGTTCTAAAATGAAAAGTTATTAATATTTTTTCATGAAATTTACAGGAGTTATAGTTTATGCTACCCTTTTGGTGAAAAAATATTAAAAATTATAAATTTTTGAATTTAAAAAACAATTATTAATAATTTCTTTAATCAATGTTCAACTAATGCTTGATAATTTTTAAACGCTTCGTTTATCCAGGAAATTTTTACGGAGAACAAACAAAAATAAAATACAAGTAATTTGTTAAAAATTATAATAAAAAAGTAGTATATACGTTAACCTCAGAGTATTGTGTTTATGTTCGTAGCGCCGCGAAAATATTATTGCTAATATTTCGTAAACGGCTAATGAAATTGAAATCAAACTTTATAGAAAACTTATTTATATATCTATAAACATTTTATTCACTGGAAGTTAGTTCTCCGTGAAAATTTCCTGGATAAACGAAGCGTTTGAAAATTATCAAGCATTAGTTGAACATTGATTAAAGAAATTATTAATAATTGTTTTTTAAATTCAAAAATTTATAATTTTTAATATATATTCACCAAAAGGGTAGCATAAACTATAACTCCTGTAAATTTCATGAAAAAATATTAATAACTTTTTATTTTAGAACGAGTTGAAGAAAAAAAATGAATGAAATGTTATTTCATAAAAAAATTAGTTTTTTGCGTTTTCTTCTAAAACCTTAATAGATACGAAAAATTTTTATAGAAGAAAAAAGATGCGCAATAAAATTTCCTATTCAGAAGTTATTTAAACAAATTTTTTTTTTAAATTAATTTTTCAACCTTCAGGGGCCAACTCAAACCCCTGTGGAAATTTTATGTGTCGTTATAAGGTCCGACGACTCATATACAAGTAGATTTCCATTATCAATTCAAAATTTATTTTAGAAGGACTATTTAACTCTCTTCATAAGCAAAGGAAACATACACTTTTTGAACCTCTGAATTTGACTCTCCAGTTTTCTCAGTGTATTTTAAAATTCGTAAACTTAGGACAATCGACTAAAATTATTATTGTATTTGACTTCAGTACAATGTTTTTCTGTGCTTTTAAGAAGGTTCTCTCTCTACATTGTTAATCAAAGCAATGTCCATTTAAGTTTTCATTTGAATCACGTAGGACTGGCGCAACGCTTAACAACGTTGGATTTATACTTTTGTTAAATGTGATATTACTTTCAAATGTTGCGCTTTATATAGCTAACTTTCTAGAAGCAACGTTGCCAAGCGTTATGCTGAGCAACTTCTGATTTTTGAGTCTCCTAGGTAAGGTCTGATTAATTTTATTGTAAATTAATGAGTATTAGTTATTTAACTTTGGCTATGAAAAATTTTATTAATATCTGTTTGTCAGATTTCTCACAATTTGACATTGAAGACCAAGAAAATGCAATTTCCCATAAGATACAGTGTTAAATGTGAAAAGAGAAAATTATTGATATCTTTTGTCACAATTAACCTAGATCTCTAAAAATGTAACTACATCTTCTTTAAACCATTAACTATCAGCATATTAAGTTTCATAATTAACTGTTTGTTATTTATATTTGCAAGAGAACCTCCTTTAGAAAATGATGTTTTGATTTTATATATTCCAGACACAATCATTAAGGGTAACAGTACACAAAATTTAAAGTTGTTCAAAACTTCTAATCCGAATAGTATATACGTATGCAATGATACACAGGAAATACAAACTGGCGATATTATTGTTATTGTGGATAATATAAAGTTTATTGCATTTAATACTGATGCAAATAACACTGTAAATAAAAAAGGTAAGTTATATTTATATATATATATATATATATATATATATATATATATATATATATATATATATATATATATATATATATATATATATATATATATATATATTATATGTATATATTTCAGTGTTCAGGTGGGAATATTATTTGATTTTCTATTCTTATAAAGTAACTTAATAAAATGAGGTTTATATCGATGCTGCGAATTTGAGTTATATTACTTTTTGATCTTTATTCAATTGTCGTTAAGACTAAAAAGTTTAGTTAATTATTTTATTATTATTTAAAAATTAATTTTTCATTTTAGAGGAATTATGTCCTGTTGAGAAAGAGCCGAAGAAGAAAACAAAAAATATTGGTATAATTGTGGGAGGCATTCTTATAGCTTTAGTGTGCATAACTCTTATTATATTCATAATTAATAGATATTCTAAAAAAATATATTCCTGGAATATAAGCAAGACTCACAGTGTTATGAAAGGCTTATGAAGTTAAAATTAAAGGTTATTAATTATTATTGCATGCATGGTTATGAACACTGCAACCAAGAAGGAATATTACTACTAATATTAAATTCTAGTTCGTAATGCAAAATTACTATAACCTGTAAAATATTTTTGTAAGAAAAGTTGGGTTTACCGAGATACACTTCTTACTCGGGCAAATAGTTCTCTGCGCCTCCTTCTTCGTACTTATTTAATGAAATGTATATGTATATGTATATTAATTATAGTACATATCGACATCCTCTTTGATTAAATGTTTATTCTAACTTTAGTGCAATGAAATGTTAATTCAGAAAGTTCTGCTATATGATTTTATTACAAAATTTTGTGTAACACAATTATTGTTAATTAACTCTTCGTGCAAAATATAATTTAATTTCCTGGAAATTATACCAAAAATTCCCGGAAGTTACTCTTGAATGACTCCTGTAATATTCCACGAGATTTTTAAGATATATTATTTTATGAATTGTGTAAATAAAATCCACGTGGAATATCCCCTTAGTATTACAGGATCATCCCCTCAATATTACAGAGATAACATATCACAGGATTATCCCCTAATATCACTGAGTTATAGATATCACCTGAATGTCACATTCATGAACACTAAATATCACCGCGTGATATCACCATGCGGCGAACATTTGGACATTCATTCAATATCGCAGTAATATTCCTAATAGATATTACTGTTACATTCAGGTAACACACCGCGTGCTATATGAGACTTGTTAAAATTATCATTTTTCAAAATTTGACAGTTTTTTTAAACAACTGGCAGATGTCAAAAGTTATTTTTTATATCAAACTCTAGTTTGACACATCAAAACCCGTAAGAATGCATTGACACAAGTGAAATTGTTGAGAAATGGAAAAGTTATAACATGCACTTAACCCATGTTATCAAATGGGCTGTTCTTGTGCAAACTTCGGAGTATTTACTCGCAAAGTTTAATGACAATGGGGTAAATATTTAAATGTCCCAATGTTTGGCGTGAAACTCCCCTATTTTAAGAGAGACTTTTTATCATAATATATAAAAATTTAGTGTGAATTAATAAAATGTATCCACTTAAATGCGTTTAGAAAACTGCTAATTCATTAACCCTACTTTTTGACAGCACGATATAAAGCATCACTTAGTGATGCTATATGTTTAGGAAATTTTTACGCTAAACATTTTTTATTTATTGAAGTAGGACATTTAAATCTTTACACAATTTTTACTGAAATTTGCAAGTAAATACTCAGAAGTTTGCAAGAAAATCATTAATAAATTTTTATGATAGTTGCGGTGCTGTGTGGGTACGTAATTCAACTAAGTTTAATAAGTTATACTGATTAATAAAAAAGTAATAAAAATTGTAAATAATGATTTGATATATGTATTAAGTATTTTATTTACATGTTTAAATAGAAATAATATGAACTACCAGATTATTAACGCTGTAAAAATATAATAGTGTTTTAGAAGAGCTGTTGCATATAACATTGTTCCGGCACATGTCTAGAACTATAACTTGGAACTACAATATTCCTACTAGGAACATCTTGCCCCAAATGCCACTATTTTGTAATTTGTTCGTAACTTAACATACAAGCTTTATTATTCTATATTACACTTTGACTGATTTAAAGGTATGTCATTGGCAACGTATTACCGAACTTACCTAAAATGTGACGCTATCAGGCTCTTCAAAATTCAAAAGGATCATCTTGCCCCAAGGGATCATCTCGTACACATTCCCTTTATTTTGATTTATTAAAATAAATCGTGAAAATATCGTTTCCTATTCATAAGTTACGTCACTCTTGGACATATATATATATATATATATAATTCGATGATTTTTCGATAAAACAACAATGATGAAGATGGTCAATCCCGTATTATAATAATTTATATGAATAACATATGCTATCTGATAAAAGTATCCAGGTGTTAAATAAGGGGTGTGACGATTACTCTCTAAATCTGAATTAGTAAAAATGTTTACTAATTTGAATTAGAGACTGACTGTTTGCTTTTTGAATTAGTAAAGTTTACTAATAAATTAGTAGAAGTAACTATTTATTATAGTAAAATTTACTAATTCAAAAGCAAAAAGTCAGTCACTAATTAAAATTAGTAAACTTTTTTACAAATTCAAATTTAGAGGGTATGTTTCGGATCATTTTAATTTTGTGGCTAAATTATATAATATATATGTATATAACATGCAAGTGATTCTATATCAGTTCCGCGTGCAACATATTTATTAGTAAATAAGTGGTTTTTATATTTTGTCACATTTTTTACGAATTTTTTCCAATAATATATTCACCAGAAAAAAAATTATGCATTTCAATAAGGGAACTACTTAATCTGATCAGGATTGGATTTTCATATTGTGATATAGAGAAACCGTTTTCCGGGGGTTTTTTTAATCGTAAGATAAAATCTGTACATAATCCGCTGTTATATACATATCTTTTATTTGTGCAAAAAAATTTTATTAGGAAAGAATATATAATTCTAAAAGATTCTTTTTTTTTAAAGAAAAATAGTAGATATAAAAATTTACTTTCTGATATAAAAATAGCAGCTGTTTTTCTTGTAAAAATTAAAAATTCTCACGATGATTATAGTATATGGCTTTTCTAATTTAAAGACATGCTTCATCGATTCATGACAGTTAAACGGCCAATATAGGCAATTGGCTTATCATTTTTTTTAATTTGTTTCCCACGGGGGTCGGAAATACAATACGCATCACGCGAACATTCACCCTAAATTCATTTCGAGCAATTTACAAATTTACGACTGATGGTGAAGCGTGCACAGTCATAAATGCCGTACGATTATTGCACATAAATAGTGCACATGTTATAATTAAACGAGTAAATTCATTTATACTGTGATCCTTTTAACGGTTATTCATATTACCATAAAAATTAAATATACATATAAATGCATTCCATTTCTTTTCATTTCTCCTTGGTTGCTATTCAAGGATTAAAAATAAGATTTACCGATGTGATCTACAAAGAATAAGAAACATGCCGAGAAGTTCTAATAGTACGTGCCAATCACTGATTTCTGGTCAGATGTACCTGGAAAATTACCAGTGCCAGCTCTTTCTTTCAAAAAGGATTTCAGGTTCCAGAGTAGACCAGACTCAGCAGGAATTCAAGATTTATCAAATGGTCAATCTTCCGCAAATGCGGAAATTGTATTTGTTATGTAATGCTTTTTATGTGCTAATGAATATCTTAAAGACTACCTAATGAACCTACCATTAATTTCTAAAATACCGCGTCATTTAATAAGTCAATATCGTATTCTTTTTTTTCTTTTTTCTTTCATGACAGAAAGTAAATGTATAAACAAAAAATTGCGTTGAACGAAAATGTAATTGTACACTTTTTTATATTTTTAGTATCCCGTGTAGAAATTTACCGTGGAAGAGTATGAGAAACTGTCCAGTTGCGCTAGATTCAATCTAGCAACTAGATGGAAAAAATGGACAGGATTGAACGAGGGATGTGACGCTAGCAACGTCAAGATTTTGTACAGTTATTTTGTCTAGTCTTTGTCTAGTAAAATAAATCATTCCTAGCCAGTTCCTGGATATTAAAATAAGCAGCTTCTACATACTGGGAATAATTGTTAGGTTTATAAATAATAAAAGAATATTTTTCAACTTTACTCTTTTGTTTGTTTAACTTTTAAACAAACAAAAGAGTAGTATAAATTTTAGTAGAATTTATAAAATTATTTTACAATCTTTCAATTACTTCTATATCAAATTTCAATTATCTTCAATTCAATCAATAATAATAACAAAATCCAAATATTTTAAAAACTTTAATTTTTAGAATTTTAAGTAAAATTTTTCTAGACTTTTATTAAATAAATTACCTATTTAATTTAAATTATTTTAAAATTTACTAATTAATAAAAATTGTGAATTCAATTATTTATAAATTATTAAATAAAAGTTCTTTGAAACTTTGGTTTTTTTTTTAATTTCTAATTAAATTTTTTAACAAATTGTAATATTTTTAAGACAGCTTCACAAAATATTAATTAATTAAATAATTTTTTAATAAAATTATTTTAAGAATTCAATTATCTTTAAACAATTTAATTAAAATTTGCAATTTTTCCGAATTTTTAATAAAATTATTTAATACTTGAATAAGTTTTAAAATAAGTATTTAATCATCAAATTAGGAAGCTATCAATTTTGCTGTATACTGGAAAAATGCACATGAAAAAACATGAAAATTTAAAAAATAAAATCATTAAATTAAATAACTGTACAAATTTAAACTGTATTTGGTTAAACTGACCATGAGAAAACAGCAAAAAAAGTCTAAAAGAATTGACTAATATAATTAAATAGTTTACTTTCTAAAACATGGACTATCTATATTTCCAGAGGTTCTGAGAAACCAGCAATTTTGATGTATGTAAAAACTCCATTTTATGTACAAAAATTAGACGCGAGTAATGATAAAAAATCGTTTTACGACATCACGATAAATGACGCGAAAGATATAGAGGTAAACACTGGTAAACACTGTCAGAACAGAAGCAGACGCGTGCGCATTATGGAAATAGGCAAAATTACTAAAATCCTAGTCAATTTGACTAGGATTTGCAGGGTTGTTTTTGCCAGGCTTGAATTTGTTGAATCAACCTAGCGATCCTAACCATAATGATTAGGAATCCTTATTACTTTTACTAGGTTAAGATTAACTATAGGGTCATAGTGAATAATACCATCGAGATTTTTTTCGGTGTACACTACCATCCAAAAGTATCAGGACTATTACATTCGATTCTATGAAAAACATGCCATCACTTTTTCAATCATATCTCGGAAATAAAAGGTGGTACAAAAAAACTTAAATACGGTTAGAAAGCTGATTAAAATCTGCGTAAAATAAGCTATCTTTGAAGTCATTTCGTTAACTATTTTTTAAGTTGTAGAGTGAGAAATAAATAAAAAAATATCAAATTTTCTCATTTTTGTCTCTTGACTTCAACTTTTTCAAAAATCTAGAAAAATTGAGATAAAATTTTTCTAAAAACACAGAAATCTTCGTTAGAATTTCAGCTTTAAAACAAGCCTTCGAAAATTAAAAAAGGTTAATCCGTCTTCGATATAATCATTAAAAATGTGAAGCCGTGTTTCGACCGATTGGTACATTGAAATTCAACTGTGACGACTCGATTCTGGCTTCGCGCGGCAGCGAATGAGAGAAAACAGGGACGAATTTTTGCTGGAGAATAATAAATAATGATGTTTCACGAGTAATATAAAGAAACTCAAAAGTTCATCGTTCCCCCGCATGAATTCGTTCCTGTTTTCTCTCTCATTCGCTGCCGCGCGAAGCCACAATCGAGTCGTCACAGTTAAATTTCAATGCACCAATCGGTCGAAACACGGCTTCACATTTTCAATTATATATCGAAGACGGATTAACCTTTTTTAATTTTCGAAGGCTTATTTTAAAGCTGAAATTCTAACGAAGATTTCTGTGTTTTTAGAAAAATTTTATCTCAATTTTTCTAGATTTTTGAAAAAGTTGAAGTCAAGAGACAAAAATGAGAAAATTTGCTAATTTTTTTTATTTCTTTCACACTCTACAACTTAAAAAATAATTAACGAAATTACTTCAAAGATGGCTTATTTTACGCAGAATTTAATCAGCTTTTTAACCGTATTAAAAAGTTAAAAATTTTTTAACCGTATTATTTAAGTTTTTGTTGTACCTCCTTTTATTTACGAAATGTGATTGAAAAAGTGATGGCATGTTTTTTCATAGAGTCGAATGTAATCGTCCTAATACTTTTGGACGGTAGTGTACGTTAGAAATGTTTGATAATAATTGCCTTAGAATATTTCATCAGAGTATTATTTTATATTATGAGACTTATTAAATTATTATAATAAAACCAAGTATCTTTCTTCTTGTGATACTAGTTTACTATTGAATTAGTTAATTTATTATAATGCATAAAATTTTTTAATTCCAATTCAAATTCAAATTAAGTCTAGCGAGATTACAAGTATATGAGTCTTCTATTTAATCATTTATTTAAATATTAAAATTATTTTCTATAACATTGTCAAAAAACCATATATATTCATTTATAATTTTTAAACCACTTGTAAGTATGACTTATACAAAATTCCACAATAATACCCACATTTATACCCTAAACAGAAATTCTTAAAAGCACTTTTTTTAAACAAAAAATTGTTTCGCTCTAGTTCTACAGAAAAAACAGGCGTTATCGCGCTTC